CCCAACAGGAGAATAGAAACGGCCCCCACAGGGTAATCAGTACTGAGACCAACAACCTTAACCTAAAACAAGATCCTACATAACAACACAACAGGCACGCAAAATAAAAGAACAAAGCAACTACAAGCTACAAATAAACAAAACAAACGGAGCTCTTCCCCAACGAACGGACTAGTCCAACCAACAGCGAATGATCGACACAAGAAAGATTCCAGGCCCAGAAACCGCTACCAAAACTGCATACGACCTATACAGCAAGAGAAATTGAACCCAAACTCATCCCCGAAATCGACCCGTCATTGACTGAGTGAGCCGCAATCAACCCCACACCAGCCCCATCCGGACTCGTCTAACACCACTAGACAAGGCCGATAGAACCTAGTCCCGTGACGCCTAACAACACTAGCCGAATAGGGGAAGGTGAGCAAAAATCGAACCTCAACACCAACCACCGCAGCAGGCACACCGCAGTCACCAGGGTCCCGCCCCACCCGAAGACGCGCGCCCATCCCAATACCACTGTGGACTTCCGACCACCATAGGTCCAAGCTCCACCTGAGAGGCAGAGCCCCGCCGGACAAAGCAAGCCCAACAATCGCAGACGGGAGAAAATAAATGGACTTACCGCCACCGTTCAAAGCAGCACCTACGATGAAGGAGAGAACCCCAAAAGCAAGCTAATCGCCGCTCGGAAGGGACGCCACCACCGATTGACTCCCCATCCGCAACCAAGAGCCAGATCTCCAATCTCGGCCATCCACGTAGCTCCAGAATTGCGCAACATCAAGGGGGGGAGGAAGGTTAAGATCGACCCCTAGCCGAGCCTATTCCGACACCGGGGAAGGCAAACAACTGGAAGTTGCAAGGGACGTCAAGGAAAAAGGGTTTTTCGCGACGGGAAAGGGGAAAGTGTAATATGATCTTGATATATAATTAATTATTTGAGATTGTATTAGTTCCAGAAGCACATGTACAAAAATTATAATTTGTCACATGAGGTATATGATAGAAAATTATCTTTATCTTATAAGACTATATGTATCCTTGACTTGTATCGTTATTCTTTGCATATGAGCAAATCTTTTTTGTTACGTATCCTATAATTCTTAGCATTACTTGTTGAGATTTGAAAGTGGTAACACACGTAAGATTGTCCAGTGGACATTATTCACTCGATAAGGATTATTTTCGATGATGAAGAAGGAAAAATATTATATAACTTATGGGATGAAATCTCTCATACTTCAATTGTTATACTCCTAAATAATTATAAAAATGAAAATGCCCACATATATTATTATTATTTTGTCTATGCATCTGAATACACATGAAGCATATGTAGATTAATTTTAACATGTGAATTGTGTATATTGTTTGGAACATATTTGGTGAAAATATCAAAGTATGCAATTACGACTGTTTATCTCATTTTTGTTGCTATTTTTGTTGGTGTTTTGTTTGTCATTTTCAATATTTTAGGTCATTTCTTAAGTTTTTTTGGTCTACCTAGTCGTTTCTTGTGTTTTTATTGTTATTTTGATGTGTTTGGTATTTTCGTTATTTTCTTCCTATTTTCTTCGGTTTTCGTGTGTTTCGGGTGGTGGTGATTATAGGTTCTAGGCGGGGAAAGCAGTGGTCCGTTCCAGTTCCTAGGAGTTCCATGTTGTTCGTGCGACTCAAACAGGCAGAAATCGAGTTTTCATCTCGGGCAGAACCCAAGAAACATTGGCCGTGAGCTCCCGAGTCAACCAAAGGTCATTACCCGCCCTGATATAGCAAAATATTGAAGTTACAGGACCTTAGCGCCGCTAAGGGTACTTAGCTAGCGGCGCTAGCATGTCTAGCGGACGACTGAAGCTCGAGTTTTGTGACTCTAGCGCCGCTAAGGGGGGTGATAGCGCCACTAAGGTCTGTTATGAGAAGTCGTGTTTTTCACGTATTTTTGAATGGAGAAGCATATAGATCGAACCTAGGGTACTTTCCAGACATCTTGAACATTTTTTTTTCGTACTTTCTCATCCAAAACACTTTTTTTTTCTCTTAGTTTTCATTGGGATTCAACCTTGGAGAGTAAAAACTCCAAGATTTGTCTTTTGGAATTTGGTTTGCACGTTATTTTCGGCATTGGGTTTTACATTAATCGTAAGCTTTTCTTTTTATTTTGTGTATGATTATGATGGCTTTGATTGATGTGTATTTCGTTGTGGAATTTACGATGAGTAACTAAATTTGTTAACTAGGGTTAGGGGATAATTGTTCCGATTCAATTTTGTTTGCGTGTATGTTGATTGCTCAATCTTTTCGAGTTGTCTTAATCCTAGGGTTAGATGATTGATCGTGCTTAATCTAGTTAGTCAATTTTTATAACCAAAATGGGAGGAATTGATCGATCTAGGCTCGTTTAGAATAGACATGTTTGTAATGGTATTGTCAATGTGTTAATTGATTCGATAATTGTTCGTTTATGTTTATTTTCTTGTTACAAAGAGTTATTGAGAATAAATCTCTAGATGAGGAAGTTTTTCGAGTCCTTTAACCGAGTATTTGATTGCCCATTTAATGCATGTGGAACCGGAAACGATTATTCCCCGACACCCTAGTCCATTTATCACTATTTGAATCGTGTTGTAAGTTGTGAGATTGAAATTGCTAGTTTTAGAATTCTTAATTGATAATCGGAACCAAAACTATACTGAATTAAAATGTTTAGGATTTTGTTTTCTCTTTTCGTGTGATTGAATATCTGGACAAATAATCCGGCTAACCTTCCTTGAGACACGACCCGGAGATTGAATCCTTCGATTTAACTCCGATAAAAATAACTACAATAAAAAAGTCAATTGCTGATAATTGAAAACCAAAACTTTTGAATTAGAGTGTTTAGGAATTTGTTTTCTCTCTCTTGTGATTGAATAACCATACAATGAAATCTGCTAACCTTCCTTGCAATACGACCCGGTTAAAGTCGCTGGTCTCTATTAAAGTCGCGAGTCGTGACTTTGCGCTCGCGAGTCACGACTTCGGCTGTGAGCCGCGACTTTGGTTGCACTGCATGACTTTACATTTCAGACTTGTTTGGGCTCGTCCGATTTCGGAATTGAGTTTTCTTTTTTGCTACGCGTCGCCAACGAATACGTTTATTCAATTATGTTCTTGAAACCAATTTTTCATGTTGATAAAATTTGCCCGAAGATCCCGACATACACATAAAAAATGACAAAACACGAAGAAAACCAGAAAAACAAACGAAAAACACCTAAAGACTCAAAATGAAGGAAAACCCATAATAAAACACGAAACGGACTGAAAACGAAAGAAACTACCTAAAATGGGGGAAAAAGAAAAGTAAAACAAGTACAAAAAATGTAACAAAAATGACAAATAGACTCTTAGGAAAATTAGAAGCAGAACCTGAAAACTCAAAATCATGGAAGCTAAAGCATTTCCTTTGGAACTGTTTTTCATAAGCCCTTCCAGTCAAAGCTGCCTTGAGAAGAAGAGGGATGCTTGTTGATGGGATCTGTCAATCCTGTGGAGAAGATGTTGAGACCAGTGAGCATTTGTTCTTTCACTTTAGAAGAGCTAAAGAGGTACGAAAAGCTGCTCCGGTGCAATGGGAATTTCTTAAGGACCCTTCAATCAAATTCAGATCATGGTGGGGTGATGTATGCTCCAACAGTAGGTTGGAAGTCTCTGAAGCTCGAATTAAACTAACCACATACCTCTTATGGTGGTTATCGAAAGCGCGAAACCTTTGGGTTTTCAAGAAAGAATGGATGTCGGCTCAGTTTATATATTAAGCTTGCTATGGGGAGCTGACAGGAGTATGCACAGAGGAACTGCAAATAAGCCAAAGAAGCTCTGAGGAGATGTCTAGGTCCGTTTGGTGCAGTGGGCTTTCATCATGTTTTTTTCTTGGTCTGTCTTTACTTTTTCTGTTTTTGATGGCTTGAGTCTTGTAGGTTTTTTTTGTTATTACTCTTTTTCTTGGCATGTCTTCTTGTTAGTCTTTTTGTTTCTTTGATCTTGGTAGTCTTTCCATTGTGTTGCACCTTGCAGTGTAGGATTTTTGAGAAGCGCTAAGGGTGACAATTTTGTACTGGCCTTAGTATGTGCTCAGGAATTAATTTTTTAGATGGTGTATTGTGTTGATCATTTAGAGCACCTGTGTGTAGGTGGCTTTCCCATTTTACTAGCCCCATTTAACTCTCGATTTATATGATTGTACATGTTGTGCTATAAAATATTTTATCGTTTTGAAAAGAAAAAAAAAAATCAAAATAAATACCATAAAATAAAGAAATTTTAGTGGTATCCTAAAAAGGTAAAAGCCATAAATAAATATTAAAAAAAGTGTAATAATAAATCAGAAAAGCAAAAATAAAAAAGAGTAATGCTACAAGATAATGGTGTACATAAGGGTATACATAATCCTTACATTGTATGGGATCCACAAAAAATAAAAATCAAGTAGACCTCACACCATGTGAGAGTTATATACATCTCTATGTACACTTATTATGTACACGCAGCATTTTCTAATAAAAAATAGGGGGAGACAGAGCATATTCCCCATCAGTTAAAGAAGCGAGTGAGAGTTTTTGTGGCGTAACTGGCGTTGTGCAGAGCCACAAAGTCATACAGTAATTAGCAATAGCAGCCCACACGGTGGAAAAACACACACATACACGCGCGCGCACGCATATATATGTGTTGCAGCTGATGTAGCAGACGGCGGCGACACCTCTGTTTCTTCTACTTTCATCTTCGATGGTGAAAGACCAATAGATAATATGTCGCTCTCATATGCATTTTCCCCCTGTTTTTATGTGACTGAATGAATTCTAGTTGCTAAAATTTGCCATTATCATTAGGTAGGTAGGTTAGTAGGGAAATTTTGGATGATTTCGCCCCCTTTTTGATTCACAATCTCAACTCTTATTACTGGTTAAAGTCTTTGGTGGTGAGTTTTGTCGCAATCAGAGAAAAGAATTTGATCGATGGTGCGCATGTCGATACCCAAGGAACCCGAGCAAGTGGTAAGACAGAGAGACGGATCGGTGCTGGGTAAAAAGACCATTCTCAAGAGCGACCATTTCCCTGGCTGCCACAACAAAAACCTGCTCCCTCATGTTGACGGTGCTCCCAATTATCGCAAGGTATTATTATTTCCTTTATATGTCTCTTGCCTTTGCTTTCTCTGCAACTTATCATGTCACTTTTCATTCTCTCCTCTTTTTCCCCTACCTATCACCTCATAGTTGGTAGCTGCCTCATTCTGTAACAAGCATGGCGCCACAACCCTGGCTCCTCCCACTGCTTAAAAGAAGCCTATGGTTGTTCTACTAATGTTACTTTGCTCATATGGTGTTCAAAATATATCTTCACATTATCGAGACTGCTCTCTATGTTTATAGTTTTATTTTTGTATATTTTCTGAAAGAAAAAAAAAAAAAAATGCTCATAACAACTCTCTTTGTTAGGCAAGTGCGTTGCCTGTCCACGGTGTTGCTATTCCGACTATTGATGGAATTCGCAATGTTCTCAAGTACATTGGTGCTGACATCAACGGCGAGCGCTTTCGTGTACTTTGGATTAACCTTCGCGAAGAACCGGTAGTTATTTTATATCTTGAAAGTTTGTCTCCCCCCAGTGCTCAAGGACAACTTCTTAATGATGTTATATCTTGTTAATTTATTATGGCCTTACCAGCCACTTTGATGATGCTATATCTTGAAAGATGAACTCATGCTTCTATTTTACATTATATGATGAATTTTTTAGTTGGTATAAATGATGCATCGTCTCGCATGACAAGTGTTCGATTTTGTATGCGTGTTTTACTTTTGTGGAGTTCAGGTTGCCTTTTCATTTCTCACTTGCAATATTTGGATTTCCATTATTTTAATTTCCTTTTACTATCTTTGATAGGTTGTAGTAGTCCCCTTCGTCACCTGTTGGTACACCTATATTCTTTTTTTGTTTTTTACGTGTTATGATGATTTCAGTATATTAAAATGTTTCACCTTTACGATTTTGTGAAGCACTTCGCAATTTCAAATTATGTACCTCTAGCTTGCCACATGTTGAAAACTAGAGGTACTTGTATGTATATGCGACTACCTAGTCACCTAATGCCTTCCTCTCTCTCTCCCTGAGTTGGCCCATATCCAATTTTCTTGTTTGATTCGCATGTTGTGCCAGTTGTACCTGGATCGCTTGGTGTCCCGAGTTTCAGAGAAAGAGAGGGATATGTGCCTAAGACGTTTGTGTTGGGAACTGGATATTTTAATGTGACCCAGAGGCCGCCACAATTAGTAAATGTATCGTAAATATATTCAATTTCCAACCCTCATTATGAGATCATAGAGCCCTTAGAATTCTAAGATCCATCCATAATCCTTACCCTTTTCTTTCCTAAGAATTAGCCTCTAACTATTTTGATGAACAAAGCATAGATGTCTACTTTGAGACGTCATCATATATGTACCTGATAATTAAAGATAAAGCAATGCATACTGTATAACAGCAAAGTTCACAACACTAAAAGATTTTTGAGATATATGAAGTTGCTAAAATTTTGAAAAGGAGCGTGCAGTGTTTTCAAGGTTGATAGTGAGCAAGAGTAGTTTCTGTGATTGTAATCTTATTTTTTAGCCCATTTGTCTTTTATCTTCACTTAAAGCCTTGCTTGAAAATTTACTATGTTCATCGTTACAAATGATGTGTCATCCAATATAAATATCAATACTGGTGAGTAAAATATATGAAGTGAGTTTCATTTTGGCTGAATTCTGAGATACAAGATGGAAAATTATGTGATCGACATGTTGCCAGGAGAGGATGTTGCACCATTATTTGTTAATAGAATCAGTAGTATTAATACTTGTTATGTTCTATTGAGTTATTGATTAACAAAACATTAAAGTATGATTCTATAAGTTTTATTAGAAAGTATAAAGGAGAAACTTGAATCTGGTTGAAGCGTGATGTTGAAAATTTACAAATGCAAAAACCAAAATGGAAAAAAAAAAGAAATGAACCTGATTTTCTCATTAGAAAGGTTTTTTCTCGGTTGAATAGTGAACATGAAAACGATGAAGTTGTGATTCTTTGCATGCTTAATGCCAGCTAGTTGGTATGCCACACATGTTTGTTTATTGATCAAGTTCGTTGCCCCTTTTTCCAGAGTACCTTTGATGTTTATCTATATCGTTTCATTTAATTATTTCTTGTATAAATAAACAGGTGATTTACATTAACAGTCGGCCTTTTGTTCTGCGTGATGTGGAGCAGCCCTTCTCAAATCTTGAGTATACGGTGCGAAATGCTCTGACTTCTTGCTTTCTATTGCTGTCTTGTGTAAAATTCTTCCAGCTCTGAAGAATATGACCACTTTATTGTTTGGTTTAGTTCTAGTCCTAGATATGGATTAAAGTGGATACTAGGACAATTTCTTGATGTAGGACACTGTGAATTAATGAAACCGAATCTAGATTGGTGTAAATGGTGTGTCGTGTTACCAGTACTAAAGAAGAAATGGATAAAGGACGAATTACTAATCTTTGTTATCCAGTTTTTTCCTTGACATAGTTGACCATTGCTTATTTCATAACCAGGAGTTTGGTTGTGGACAGAATTTCCTTGTACTGTCCTAATTGAGTGATTTTTTTTTTTTTTTCCAATTCTTCAATATTTCTATTTATAGTATACATTCCACTCCACTGCACCCCCAGCTCCTCAATCTCCTCTCATCATCGTTTTCTCCGCTTGTCAAAATAAACTGGTTTCCGGCAGCTTCAAAATAAACTGGTTACAAAAAACAGCAGCAGAAGGTTTAATTTCTATGTTTAAAATATTATCTGCAAACATTGTGCATAACCTGAGAAGATGACATCGTCTCTTTGTTGCAATCACTTTAAATACATTAGAAGTTCTTCCGTAAGGAAAACTGCATAGCCTGTTTTATTTATTTATTTTATTTTTTCTTCTTTTTGTATTCTGTACCCAGTTCTGTTTGCACCATGCCCATACTAAGGTGTTATGAGTGAAAAAATCCCATCGGCCTCCTATTTGTTCCAAGCTGACATTTTTAAACTGATGTAACTCGCTATAGCTTGAGCTTTTGCTTTTGCTTTATTATCTTATGTTTCCTTCATATGCTCAATTTTAAATATGATTTTATCGTTTGATCAAGAGTTTCTATAGCCAGCATCATCATTGGTGTTTATTTTTCAAATAAAAGTAGGGTATTAACAGGATCAGGGTGGAGCAAATGGAAGATCGATTGAAAGTAGATGTCCTCATAGAAGCTGCTCGGTACGCTACTGTTCCTTGACTCATTATTTGTTTAGATGGATTGGTTTAGTTACTTCCACTTTTCTTTGTTGTAATTCATTCTCACAAGTGTCAAGTCACAACATCTGATCAACAGATATGCAAATAAAATCCTCGTAACTGATGAACTACCAGATGGTCAGATGGTGGATCAGTGGGAACCAGTTACACATGATTCAGTCAAAACACCACTAGAGGTATGTACATGCAAAATGATGATGAAGGAATTTGAATTAATTACTTATATACTTTTCTTTCTTCTCTGAGCTAGGTATACGAGGAGTTGACGCATCAGTTCCTTGTCGATTATGAACGTGTTCCCATAACAGATGAGAAGTCTCCGAAAGAACAGGACTTTGATGTTCTGGTTAGTGTCCAATATAGACCAAGCTTAATGTAATATTATGATACATCTGTTTATTCATCTTTAATAATCAGCGTCCTTCACAATATGTCGGAATTTCTAGGTCTTTATTGCCTGATTTGAATGCCATTTTACTTCAAAGCCACACGTATCACACAGTCTTTCGAATCTTATGAACGTAATGCAGCTTAGTTCCCCAGGCCATTCCATTTGAAACCAGAAGCAGTACTGAAAAAAAAAAGTAGATCAAAATGGCTATAAACCTCTAACCTCTAAGATGGCATTCGTGAGCAATTAATTTGGAACATTGGGTGTGGGACCCAGAAGTACAACATGAATGTTGCCTCTCGAGGACAAAGATCCAACACCAATAGGGAGGGATAATAAAGCTAATTAATGTACAATAGTTTTGACTCTAATTTTTTACCCGGAATTTCTAATGTATCAACATTGTGATAAAGCTAATTAATGTACAATAGTTTTGATCATAAAGCTAATTAATGTACAATAGTTATATTCTTTCTCGATTTTCTGTTAGCTTAACTGATACTATGGAATATTTAGTGTTGCAAATGTTACACCAATTTTTGGAGATTTCTATACCTGAAACAGCTTTATATTGCTGCTCCGTTAAAACATTATGATATATCAATGTTCATTGCTCCCCTATATCCACTACTTTTTAGGTTCATAAAATTTCTCAAGCTAGTGTAAGAACAGAGATCGTATTTAATTGCCAAATGGGGCGAGGACGAACGACCACGGGGATGGTGATTGCAACACTGATTTATCTTCATCGCATTGGAGCTTCAGGTGATAAATATTGTTTGACGTAGTTTATTATGCGTCCAGATGCATTTCTACTTTCACTTATTCTGTAGCTTTGGATACATGGGATGGAAGATACATTATACTTGCTCGGACTGAGTATCTGTTTGATGTGCTTCATCATTCTTTGTGCATATTAATGTATTTTGTCATTCTTGCTGCTTGTTTGAAATTTTCTGAAATTCAAGCTTACTTTGGTAGCATAAAGATTCTACGCATTCTTATCAAGTGCATGAATATATTATATATTAAGGCATTCTATATTAGTTTTTGATTTGTTTCTTATATTTGACTCGTATTGTAATTTTTTTCTTCAATATTTTAGTTGGAACCCTAGCAATCCATATGAGTGCAATGATTCAAGTATGTAAGTTCGCTCCTCATTATTGTTATTATTAGTGTGTATGAATTCAATAGCGGATCCTATGAAGGTGGATCTTCCATTTTGATTCCAAATTCCTCAAGCTAATGCTAAATTTAACACTTTGGTGTGATACCATACCACCACATAAGGTCATGCACACGTAAACAACCATCCCATTGTATGGGGCCCAAGGGAGATGGTCTTTGGATTACCCCATTTTATTGCCGCATGGCGCAAAAAAATCTATGTGGCGTAAAGAAATTCTAGAAGTCTTTCTAGAAGTAGAAGTACTTCTAGACAACTTCTATTATATATTATATTATTTATTCAATTTCTCTCTTTTTTTTTTCAACCAATCATAAATTTAAACATGTCAAGTTAAACCATCTTTACCATTAACTATTTACCATTAACTATTCGAGACATAATTTCTTAATCTCCTTCTTTCATGCCATGGATCACAAAATGGACAAGATACCATTGGAGATGCTCTAAGTTTTCACTTTGCTTGACAAAGAAGGTAAGACGCTACACCTATGACCGATAGGTCATGAAATTCGAGTCGCCGAAGAGGGAAGTGGGAAAACTCATCCTCTTTTTTTAAGGAAAAAAAAACAAGTTTTCACTTTGCTTATCCTTTAGCCTTTTATCTTTGAGCTTGCCTTTACAATCAATAGGAAGTCAATAGAAAGTCGATAACAATTTATTGACCGCGCGTCGTAACGGGGCAAATTAGAATTTATATTTTTCCTTGACTAGGAAGTTGATCCCACGAGGAGTGTGAATCAAATTGTGAATTTTCCCGTTAATTGAAATTATAAAAGCGATAAGGGGGGGAGGGGGATTTGATTTAATAACTAAACTAACTAAAATCTTAATGAAAGAAATAAAATCTAAACAAGAAAATAAAAATAAAATAAAATAAAATAAAATAAGAGAAATTTCTATTTCACGATTCCGTCTGCACACTCGCTCAACCAGTCTAACTAATTGTGACTTCAAGTTTCATTATCACGCTCTACGATTAAACTTGACTTATTGGACAGTCTAGAACACGCTCTACGATTAAACCTGACTTAACTTATTGGACAGTCTAGAACGCTCTCTATAGATTTAATACAATAGCCGCTTTAGGATTTAGAAAAATAGGTTAGTCTAAGTAGTAAACACAACCGCGTGGTTCATTTAAATAGGCCGTGATATTTTTATGTTTTATTTTTAGGATATTAGATCTTTTTCGTGGGCCTTACATGGACAAATATAATGGTTGATTTGGTGGAATAAGAATTGGGCTCAAATAGCAATCGGTGAAGGGTGGCTAAAGAGCTTGGTGAATAT